GATTTCTATTGAATTAACCATATGCAGTACATAGGCTGAAACTGGGAATAAACTACCATTCGTCATTGTTTGTTGGGTCGGTGTTACAGACAGAGGCACTAGGATCTACCACATGCAAAAATTTGGCAACGACGTTGCCTAGTATAGATGGAAGGAAAAACACAGAAACCAAAATACTACTGTATAAACTCATGTACCATTAAAAGCTCTTGTAGATGAGAGGGAGGACAAAATAGTGAATTAAAGATTACTGACAGGAATAGGCGAAAAACAAATCTTACTTTTTACCCTTCGGGGATACATGGTAGATACTTACATAAAAAAGATAAATTGCTCTGATTGAAGTTAAAGTGAATGATCGAGCATGCTTCTTCTACTCATGGTTAATCGTCCTCATTTCCACCTCACCTAAAATTTTATCCGTGTCATTCTTATTTGCATCATATCAAATAAAAGTGCAGCATAGGTTTGTGGAAGGAGTGCTGATTTCTTGTTGCATCTCCTGATTTTAATTTAAGTAAATTAGAGGTATGATAAAATAACGACGCTTCAATAATTCATGCTATTGGGAGGGATCAGGCTGACCTCACCTGCATATTTGCAAACCAATTCCTTTCGTATCTTCGAGTTGCTAAATCACACAATCACGTAGTCCGCCTGATTTTTCCTATTTAATGAGTAAGAATACAATGATCAGGATGAATGTGGAATTGTTCTAGCATTTGTGCACTGGCTTCAGTGCGATATTAACAGACAGGCGTTAGGCAGCAGGGCTGAACCAAACCAGGTGAGACTGTAGTTTGTCTGCACCAGACCGACTCCCCAGGAGGTTTTCTCTCCGTTACGCTATGCTTGAAGTTGCTTTGTGCGGATTGACAAGCATAAATCTTACGACTTTGATAATCACTACACACTGCTGTAAACCATCGACTCACAGAGAGCAGGACACACACACGCAGATGCACCAGCGATAATGCTGGATATTATCGTGCCTGCGCGTCTAGAATGGACGGACCTATGAATTGCGCAAGGCAATGCAACCATAAAATACCAACAAAAGCAAAAAATAAAAAGCAACGACTTGGCTCAAACGCCTCTTTGATTTATTAGGTGCTTATTCCTACTTGTAAGAGTGTGCACACTTCCTTACGATAGGTCCGGATGCAAACACACTTGTGATTACCCCTCATTTTATCAGTCAACTGCCAGACAATACGAAACTGGGTATCCGTATGTCGGTGAGGTGGAGTGAAGTAAACAGGCTGAACTCATGTCGAACGCTAGTAGTCCACCACATGCGACTACATGCGACGAATGCTCTCTTGATGACCCAAATTTTATACGTTAGTTTTAAAGTGTCCGCGTGGTCTGCAACTGTCCACCAGTTCAAACGACATTTGAATTTTATGGTAAATTTACCATGTAATGAGCTCCATGTTAAAACTTTGCTTTGTGATGGAGCTAGAAGTTCACACAGGACTATTCCTTCACCAAACGGAATTTTGTGAG